AAGAAGAAGAAGAAGAAGAAGAAGAAGAAGAAGAAGAAGAAGAAGAAGAAGAAAAAGAAGAAGAGCACCAGAAAATAAATAACTAAAAAGCATTTCTCTCGCACATCTCTCTTTCCAGGTGAAGCGTTGGTCGAGGACGTAGAGGGTTCAGTGTTCTGTCGGAGGAAAATCTCATAAAGACGCGAAAGGTTCGAACTGACTGGACGAGAGTGGTTCGAAACTTGAACCCCACTGGAGCGTCGTCATGTCTGGTCTGACGATGGAGAGCATCAAGGATTTGTACAACCGAACAATGGCACAGGCCGGTGAGTTTGTTGAGAGAATATTACTATAATTTGAAGTCGATGAAATTTTAGTATTGCCAAATCATTGTTTTATTTAGAACCCACTTGGTACACATAGCTTGATTACAGGCTACTCTCAAGCTCAAAGTTACCATTTTTGAGTGATTTTTAATACATTGGACTACATTATTGGTATTTGTCTGATTAAAGAAAAGCACATTGCCACAATGACGGTCATGAAAAAAGAAAGACCGACAGAAACAACAGAGGGGAAGTAAAGAAGTAGGACCTACCAGTGCCGCCCTCCAACAACCCACATTACAGGTATAATGCATGGTATTATGCAAACAGGTCAGTCTGTAAAATGATTAAGAACAAACATTGTTGTGTGAGATTTGGGGTTAGATGTGTAGATCTTAGTCCTTCGTGTATCAGTCCGCCCGAACGTCTTTCAATATCTTTTCTGTCATTTGTTTTTTGTTTTTTTGGTGGCAAATATTTCTTGTCAATGTAGAGTAAATGCAGGATAATATGCTGCTCTGACTTCATCATTTACCTGTCAGAGGATAACGAAAGCATACGGAAAATATCTTCCCATGGAAGATAAAAACGTATTGTTTTATCTGTCTTGGGTTTCTAAATGGCGAGCTAGGTGGTAGGGGAGGAGATCGAACTCTATGACGTTGGTTTGGGGAGAAGCAGTGATGAAAGAGGTGGTGAATATTATCATTATAGAGGAAGTACCCCTCAACAAGATCTCAACCGAATTGGAGTAAAGCAGTCTGCTGCCTATCCACTATGTGACTACCCTTCAGAGACAGTGGAACATCGTCTGTTCTTCTGTAGAAAACTAACTGATTTAAGGGGATGTTTTCTTCCCAAGCTACCCCACCCATCTAACTGCCTCTACTCCTCAAGACAACAATTAGAACAGACATGCAGCTATTACCGAATGGCATCATGCAGAAGAGTTAACGCTCAGGTGCTACTGGATCGTTAACAACAACAACAACAACAACAACAACAACAACAACAACAACAACAACAACAGAGGAAGTGATTCTTTCTGGCAGTGAAGCGAATACAACTTGTGACTGTGCAAGTGTTTTAATACCTCAGAAAATTCGGGACTTCGAGAGTGTCAAATTACAGGCCTACGTCATAAGTATGACGGCAGAGGAAGGTACATCATTATATGAAAAAAAATCACAATTGTACATGTAGATACGGGCAATTTCTCACCACTGTGCCGTTGTATGTTCAGAGTTGTACGTCTTCACTTTTATTTATCCTTTTTCTTTCTTTCTTTTTTTTTGTGGGTGAATTTTAAAGACAGTCCCATGAAAGACAAAAGGATAAAAAAAACTTCACCAAAGCTTCCATAAAACGCGACAAATTCAATTACAATGGCTGTCCCATCTACATTTTCACCTCAGTTTTCTCCCCCTGATTTCTTGCAAATAGTATTATTTTTTCTAACAGCCTCTTTAATCAGGCAAAGGATCAATCATTGTGCACTTTTGCCAGTAAAATTGACGTTAAGTCGGGGATTTAACGTGCTGCATATTGCATATCTTTCAAAGAGGATGGCTGTAAAAATATTTAAAATAACGCGTTTATTGACAACGTTTTGAAAAACCGTCTTAAATGTTTGATAAAAAAGATATTGTTGAAAATTCGTGTGCTTTGTATGTTCATTTTCCAACCTATGAACTGGAATTGATTATCTTTTGTCCCCAGTCCGATTTTAATTATTTAGATCTAGGCTTGTTCGGCTTTTTCAAAGCCACCACAGTTTTGTCACGACATGGTGAAATAAGGCGCTCGTAAATCTTTGGCCATGGAGTTCTATCTATCTATCTATCTATCTATCTATCTATCTATCTATCTATCTATCTATCT